GAGCCTCAAGCCCCTCGCAACCCCCTGGCCCTCACAGGGAGTAGCCACAGGGGTCCCAGGACCCAGCCAGGGGGACTAAGAGGTGGGCACCCTCCTGGTCTGGAGCAGAGATCCTGTCCCTCCTCGAGCTGTGGGGCGAGGAGGACACATTGCAGGATCTCCGGTCCAAGCGGAGGAATGCAGACATATATGAGCACATGGCCAAGTCTCTGGTGGAGCGCAGACACCCACCCCAGACCTTGGAACAGCTCCAGAGTAAGGTCAAAGAGCTCCATCAGGGATATGTCCAGGCCAAAGAGCACAGCTTACGCTCTGGGCAGGAGCGGCCCGAGGCCGGCTCTGGCAGTTAGCACCCCAGGCGGGCGGTGCAATTAGAGTTCCCCCATGCACGGGCAGCAATGGCCCTGACATCATCATGGGGTGCCCCGGAGCCCCATGACATCATCATTGGGGGCCCAGGCCAGCAGCGCTCTAGGCAATTGCCTAGTTCGCCTAGGCTAACGGGCCGCCCCTGGCTCCGGGGCAGGACTCCACACCTGCCCCTATTGCCAGGAGCTCACCAGAACCTGGAGGGTGGGGATACATCTTTCCCACCCATCCTCATGGACTCCAGCGTGGAAACCCCCGTCATCACCCGGCCAGAAGTCTTGGTGGAGGAAGCGCAGGAGGATCAGGGCCAGTTGGAGGTGGCGGAGGAAGAAGAGATGGAGACCATGACCCTATCCCTGAAGCTGGTGTCTGTGAGCCAGGACATCTCCCAGACCTCCTCGGACACTTGGGAGGGATCTTCAGGTGAGTGGTCTCACTTTGTCACACACACAGGGCTGGAGAGGCTGTTGGTCACTGCTTACAGAGGAGGGCACAGCCTCAGGGACAGTGTCTGCATGGATGACTGACACCTCTCCTTCTTTGTGTTCTCCACAGCTGGGACTGAGGAGTGAGCTATGTCACCAGAGCCAGCCGTCAGAGCCCAGGGAACCCGAAAGCGCGCCAGGCTCCAGGAAGACCTGATGTGCCAGCATGTCAGCGTCTTATGCGACATGCAGCAGACCATGGTGCAGAAGATCCTTGAGGACTCCGAGTGGTGGAACCATGCATGGGATCAGCTCATGCAGCGGTGTGACAGCATATGTGCCATCATGTCGTGCATGATGGCACACCCGCCTCCTGTCACTGCCCCTGGCTACCACCCTCCTGCCCTCTGCTATGCCCATTCACCTTCCACCCCCCCTCCCCCCGCTATGCCTCTGCTTCCTCCCCAGGTGATGCCCATGCCCCCTTCCCCTGTCCACCCTGATCCCAGCCAAACTCCCCCTCCTAAGCACTCCCTTTGGTCCCTGGACCCACCCAACCCCAAGTCTGACAAGGTCCCCACACCCTAGGTGGCATATCTAGCTGCCTCCCTTCCCGTCCAGGTTATGAGCTTCCCTCCCCCTGCCCACCTTTTCTTAATGTTAGATAAATGCAGACTCCATTTTTTTCAAAACTAAACAGGTGTCTTTATTTAGAGGTCAGGGAAAGGGTAAAGGGAGAGGTTGTGGTGGGGAAGGAATAGGGCCGCAAGCCAGAGGCTGCTAGGGTGGAGGCACTGAGGAAAGTTACTAGGGTCCTTGAGAGAACCTCTACTGCAGGGCCTCCCGGGGTTCTTGAGAGACACTCTCCCTCAGGGCCTCCAGGATGCACACCCCGGCCTGATGGGCCTGGCGGAGGGCGGCTGTCTACGGCTGCTCAAAGGCTTGCCCTTCGTGGCTGGCATCTACCCCCCACCCCAGGAAGAAGGCCTCCTCCTTCCTCTCCACAATGTTGTGGAGGACAGAACATGTTGCGACCACCTCTGAGATGTTGTGCTCAGGGATGTTGTGCTCCCCCACATCAAGGCGGGTCAGCAGGCACCAGAAACATGCTTTGAGGCAGCTGAATGCACACTCTACCTGGATCTGGGCACGGTTCAGTTGGGCATTAAATAGGTCCCTGCTGGGATCCAGGTAGCCGGTATATGGCTTCATCAGAAAAAGCATGAGGAGGTTGGCCGCTTCCCCCCACGATGCCTAGTGGCATTGGCACATCTCCAACTGCACAGTCCCAGCAGGGGAAGAATGTGCCCGCCTCCAGCTCGTAGTACAGGCTAGAGTTTCTGAATATCTGCGAAGTGTCCACAGTGGTCGACGAGGCCCTGCAGCACCATAGTAAAGTTGGCCCTTCTGATTAATATACTGGGCCACTCATGGCTGGGTCAGGTGCATGGATTGGTATGTGGATCCCATCAATCGCTCCACCACAGTTTGGGAACCCTAGGGCAGCAAATCCAGCCACGATTAAGTCCAGGTTTCCCAGGCAAATGACCCTCTGCAGCAGGATCAAGTTGATGGCCCTCACAACCTGCAGAAGGAGGCAAAGAAACACACAAACTAGAGAATGAGAGAGGGAGTGCCTGAGCCCTTGGAAGGTGCCCTCCCCCCTACTGTTTCCTCTCCCCCAAATACCCCAGGAGCCACCCCCTATGAGGCTGCTCCCCCCCAGAAGCAGGGCTGTGTGGGGGTAGGATGGTACAACCACCCAGGAATGGGGCTTCCCCCACCCACACTCCACCCCCCAACAACCTCCAACCCCCCTTCTCAAGGGTCCCCCATTATCTAGGACTCTCCCCCTTTCTTTCCCCCCCATGCAGGGACTGCAGCCTGAGAGTGCCTTACCACTATGAGGAGGGCCCCAACAGTGGACTTCTCCATGCTGAACTGGTTGCCCAGTAGCTGTTGGGGGTGGTGAACTTCCAGTGATGGCGACCTGCTTCTCCACAGGCATGGCAGGCCACAGGGAGGTGTCGCTTCTCTGGAGGGTGGGGGCGAGCAAGGCACACAGCTCCTAAAAAGTGGCCTTCCGCATGTAGAAGTTTTGGAGCCACTGCTGGTCGTCCCGCCGCTCCATGACCAGCCAGTCCCACCAGTTGGAACTGGTGTCCATCCTCCAGAAACACCTCTCCACAGTGGGTTTTGATTGAAGAATATAGCTCCTGAACCCAGGGAGATGGTCCCCAGAATGAGCTTGGGGTCAAGTTCATGCAGGACCAGGAAGGCAGCTGGCAAAAAGTGCTGCAAAAACTGCAGCACGGCCGTGTGGAGCCATTGCATGACCAGGGGCACCTCCGGCTCCATGGCACAAAGAACAAAGCTGTGGCATCCAAAAACAAAACAGGGCAACCACAGAAGGCACTGCGAGAGCTTTGCTGTCGCTCGAAGAGGTAGCAAGCACGCAGCAGAAGCAGAGGAACAGCTGTCCAGGGGGATCCCTTTAAGCATGTGTCTCTGCAAGGCTCAGGTACCAGCACTTGGAAGCAACTGGTGACCTAAAGCCCTGGCTGAAGTGGTTCTGGATGGCCTTTTATGCGAGAGAGCGTCTAATCAGTGTGGACGCTTTCTTTCAAAAAAGTGCATCCCTTTTTCGAATAAGTTTCTCTTCTGAAAAAAAGCTTCTTCTGAAAGAAGCCTGCAGTCTAGACATAGACTTTGCGGGATCAGGAAGGCCCAGAGCCATCTTAAAACCAGAATATTTATCTAAAACCCCTTTATGCACACTTTTCCAGGGGATGAGATGGAGCGAGTAGTTTTGTTACAGCTGGAACCAATGTACCTAATCAGCCCCATTGTTCTCCTAAACACTGTTCCCATGGAAAACATGCAATGCCTAAACAGTAGCATTTTTCCCTGCTAAAGATATTAACTTAAATGCCTAATTCAAAAGCATTCATTCAAGATCTTGTAGGAAATGTCAGTCTGTTGCACCTCCTTTTACTGACTCCTAGTAGGTCTGTAAAAATATTTTCCTCTTTGTGAGACCCTTGGCCTGCAATAGAGCAAATTAAAATACTGTTTAGGTAAAATGACACAATGAAATGACTGAAAAGGTCTGACTGTGACTTTTGCAAAAAAATGGCCTAATAGACGAAGAACCAGATTATATTAAATTCACTTCTTTGGAAGCGAGAGATCAATAGGGGTGCGCCTGCACTGCACTGTTATTTCGAGATAACTAGCATTATTTTGAAATAACAATGAGAGCATCTACACAGCCATTCTGTTAATGGACAGCTTATTCTGAAATCTGTAAACCTCATTCTGCGAGGAATAATGCCTATTCCAAAATAGCTATTTTGAAATATGGCATGTGTAGAAGCTCCAGTGCTGCTATTTCAAAATAGCCCCTCACCAGGACCGTTCTAAGTTATTCTTTCCCAGTGTCTCCTAGGGTTCTAAATTGAGATAGCATGTCTACATTAGGGAAGCCTTCCTCGGTCTAATTTTGAGACTTCCCTGCAGTGTAGATGTGCTTTTTCGAAGTAAGTTATTTCAGAATAACTGTTCCGGAATAGCTTATTTCAAAATAAGAATGCAGTGTAGACATACCCTAGGTGATCAGCAAAGATTGTGATGTAAATAAGTTATATTGAATATGTCTATAATGATTCTGAGGTTAAGCCTGTGTTTATTTGTTTATTGTGCATCTATATCAAGAATTTTTTTTATTTAAAACATCATCTGGCACACACTTTTATTTGCCATGTAAACCACATTGTTTGACAAGTCTCCTTGCTGTTTTTGATCCTGCAGAATAGTGTAAGGAAGTTCATGCTTGAGCTGTATCTGCTGAGGGGAGTTTCCAGGGCTATCCATCCATCATTTCTCAGGAACACTACATTCGCTGGGGCCCTGACTCTCCAGTGCTTTCTACCTTGTACTGCCATTCGCACATATGCTCATTCCTGATGTTCATGCCCATGTCGATACTATCGCAGACAGGGAAAGAAGAGAAGTGATTTTGCTTCCTCATGGCAGCCTTAATTTGTGCTCCTGCTACAATGGTCTCTCTGGGAGTTCGCTGTGGTGCAGACCTGTCAGGATTTAAGAATATCTGAGCTGCTTTCCCCACAACTCTGACTTGTTTGAACAAGATTATTTTGCAATGAAGGGAGGGGTAGAGGACTGGGTTCATAGTTCCCGTAAAAGTCATCTTCTGCCAAGGTATTGGAGAAGCTGGGAAAGTGGCCATGCAACTGCTTTGCAAACATACCCTCCTTCCTCCATATACACCAGCACAAAGGGGACCACGAAACATCTGTGAATCCAGTCATGTGAGTGCTAAGTCAGTGTAAAAAGCTACCATATCGGAGTATGCATTTTTGCACATGTGTAAATGAGCCTACAACACACAAGGTGGTGGAGAATCAGGCTCTGTTTAAAAGGAAGATGGGGGTAGAGAGGCAGAAACTAGTCTTTTGTAGCTTAATGAATTTGTTGGAAAGCGGTGGATGATATTTCAAGATAAAATGAGTAAATTTGGTGCTTCTCTGTTAAGACTGAGGGCATTGTTAGAAGCGTCCTGTGAATTGGGTGATTGAGTAAGATGTTGATGAGTGTTTAAATTTCAGGTATCATTAGTAATGGGGAGAAAAGAAAAGATCAAAAATGACCTATTCAGGACAAACCAATTCATTATTTCCTCCTTTATAAACTATGAGAAAGGGAAAAGTGTTCTCTTGAGAAACTGTATGCATTTCCTTAAGAGGGTGTACTTTAGATCAAGGATAGACTAAATTATGTATGATGTTCAGGTCGCTAAGGAAACAGTGCATTTTTATGAATACCAAAGCAAACAGATATATAAACCCAGAGTAAATCATTAATTTATATCACTATTTTTTAGTTGGGTTGGAGTGGCTTGGATATTATAACCTTTCTTTATTTAATATTTCAAAAGTGTTCTTTTGTTTAAAAGTAAACATTGCCTTTTTTTGGACAGTTATGCTCATTTTTTATTGCCCTCCTTGAGAAATAACTAGTTATTGATGTTATTTGTGAATCAAATAAAGCAGTGGGGCTTTGATTTATGAAGGTACTTAAACACATGCCTAATTTTAAGGGTAGTCCCATTGTAAGAACATTGTAGAACTACTCACATTTTTACAGTTAAGCATGCATTAAAGTTCTCTGTTGAATTAGGGTCTAAATTAGTTAGTAGTGGCATGTTCCATGTTTGTTTAATTGTAATAATGATTTCTTGTAATGAGTAGCTTCTTAACTATTTTATTTTTGAACCCAGTGTTGTGAAAGAAAAGCAGATGTGGTCGTTGTTGAATACACCCTTTCCTGACCCAACTGTCTTACATGTTTTAAGCCTTCTTCAGCAAGGGCACTAGTTTTCTTTTAAGCTAACTGGGCCCAATCCTGAAGACCTTCCTCAAGGTTGGATCCTGTGAAGTTCTGAGTGTCTGCTCACCTTGAAGGATCACAACTTATGACTTGATCCTGAGATGTGGTGACCACTGCTATGTTCTTTGACTAACATGATAATTATAGGGGATTTACTCCTTTGGGACTCCAGCCACTATTTAGGTGACACTCCTGCTTTCATCAGTGCCCAACTAAGAACTGAGCTAGATCCTGAGGGATGCTAAGCACCTGAAACTTTCACTGCTATCATTATGAAAGGCAGATATTCAAGACATTTAGAATTTGGTCCACTAACAGAAGATTAACTCTATTCCATTATATATAACTTTCTTATTTCTTTTGGAGAATAAATTATGGTTAAAGAATGATTGAAGAATTTGTAATTAAAGAATTATCAGAGTGGCTTTTATTACCCTAAGACCTAGAGAGACAAATTCTTCTCTGACAAGCTACAAATCTGATGTAACTCCACTTATGTTAAATTTTCTTCTGCTTTACATGATGTACACTGTATGGAAACGATTACACTTATACCTTTAAAAAATACCCAAAGAAAGTTATTGCTATAGATATGGTGCTTAACTTTCATATTCATTGCACCTTCCATATTGCCACTAGTGAAACACCATTTCCATTTATAATGCTTTGTCTCTTAGAATTTTCCTTTTCTGCAAGTTCTTTTCCTATTTTTCAGTTTATTAGGAATAACACATGATTATGGTACTTCATTCTCCATTGGTGACACCACACCCCAGGTTGTGAAGTGATGTGTAAGTGAGAGAGTGATATGGAACTGATACTTGGCTAAGGCCTGGCACGTTATGAAGGAGAAACTGCACTGATTTTGGAAGCTCTGAAATTCCCCCCCCCCCCCTCCAAAATGATCATGCCATCACTAAGTCATTGTTGACAGTTCCCTGAACAGATTCTTTCTTTGGGTAATTAGTCTCCATGCAGCATGAATAGACTAGTTTTCTGTCAAGACACTGAATTTTAGCTGACAAATTAGACAGATTCCCTAAGGCAAGAGTTTTATGCAGCTTTGCCATTCTCACTAAAAATGTGATTTATAATAGATTCCTCTTTACTCGGCACTCCCTTCTTCAGGAATGAAGGCACACACCATACCCGGATTCCCTGTTGAACAACACAGAAGTGTACAAACCTTTGTCTTCTATTAAAAAACACTATGCTTTTGTTATTTTAATTTTGACATGTCATGTGATTTTTCTATTGACCGGTGAAAAATCCAATATTCCAAAAACCAGAGCCTATGTTCACAAGCTGTTCAGAATAGATAGTGGTGTAAATTTCACCTCAGTATTACTATGTGGCCTCAGGGACATGACAAACCTTTTATTCACATTCATACAGATTCGGCCACTTTAAAAATATTTGGATGAGTATGAGTCAAAAACAAAATATAGGGCTTGATCTTGCCCCCAGTGAAATTAATGGCAAATCTCCCAGGGTATGTCTACACTACAAAGTTAATTCGAACTAACAGTCATTAGTCTGGATTAACTTTAATGGGGGCTACACATACAAACCGCTAGTTTGAATTTAAATCGAGCTAGCGGAGCGCTTAATTCGAACTAGGTAAACGTCATTCTACGAGGAGTAACGTCTAGTTCGAATTAAGTAGTTCAAATTAAGGGCTGTGTAGCCACTTAATTCGAACTAGTGGGAGGCTAGCCCTCCTCAGCTTTCCCTGGTGGCCACTCTGGGCCAAACCAGGGAAACTCTTCTGCCCCCTCCTGGCCCCAGAGCCCTTAAAGGGGCACGGTCTGGCTACAGTGCTCGTGTCAGTTGCAAGCCTGTCAGCACCCACCCAGCAGGCCCTGCACCTGGCACAGCATGAGCCAGCCACCCACTGCCACCTCTTCCCAGGACGAGGCTGGCGGCTCCCCGGAGCCTGCCCA